ATTGCGCCAGGTATCATCGTAACAGTAGAACGAGCGAGAAGCAGCATCAGCCGGTGGTTTCCCGCCTGCTCGAAGCAGGCCGGCTGTTAAATAGGAAAATGGCAGAATCAGGAGACTACCATCTGTGGCGGGAAGGGTTGGGTCGAGAAACTTGTTTGCCTACGACTATTGTGTTGAAGGGGGACAGAGAGTCGAAAGTGATTTTTCTCGTCGATTCTTTATATATCGATTACGATCAGTGGCTTGTGATTACGTATTTCTTGCTTATTAATTCTTCTGCTGCTTAGTGATTCATGCGATTTGGCATTGATTGATCTCTTCTCTGATCCCGACCCATACCCTTCGTTATGATCGTTTGAGTGCAGGGGTTGTAGCACGTGGTGTGTAACCCTTGACTAGACCCCTGACCAGTACTACCCTTTCTTTTCGATCCGTTGACCCTTGTCAACATGCATTTTCAGTTTTTACAACAATTTTAGTTGACCATAATTGCTTTCGGTACCTCTGTTTTTGCATAATGTAGTAGAAACGTATCATAGTTGCTAGACTCGTATTAAGGATCCGAGTATAGTGAACTTTCTAATATTTGTCAATCGATTAAACTTGTGGAATCTGTATGAACGAAATCATATGATTAAATAAATTTGATGTAAGGTTTTCGTATTCCACGTGGCCTATATAGCTCTTATTTGCATGTTAATACAAACCAAAAAGGAATATGATTTTGTAAATAAACTAAGTGCATGTAAAATCTACATTTTTAATTAGTGCACCAAAGCCGATTTAAACACTAGTTTTTTTGAGTATTTCCGTTTTTATTCTTCTTTTGCACATGTTCAGATTCTATACTGGGCTGATCCGGAATAGTCAAAATTTGCACTCTCCGATTGTTTATTTCCTTTTCAGGGGATGGCTAGAGCTGTGATTTTGACGTTTTAATCGATTTAATTAAAATTAAGGTTAGGATTAGGGTTAGCTTGGTATTAGTATAGGAAAAGGAGTGTTGGTAAAATTGCCTTCCCGACATTTTTAATTAGTGCCCCAAGACAGGTTTAGACTGCTGTTTTTCGTCTTTTTGCGGTTTCTTTATTTTTTAACAAAACAAAATTTCGTAATTCTGGTTGGTTGATTTACATGGCTTTATGTCAAGAAAATCCCGGGCTGAAGATCGCTGAAGATCACTTCCGACCATATCCGGATCCAATAAAATCACAGGATCTCGTGTAACAAAACAAACGCGAAAAACGCAAATAACACAAAAATTTACTATGATGACTAACTTCCGACCTCTAAGTAAAAGTTTTCAGAATGAAAGTTTACTTATAAGACGCGATTGTTAATGTTAATATATAGAGAATTTTTGATATACTACGACCCATATCTTTTTGGCCGGCAGCTCGGGATTTTCTTGACATAAGGAAATTCGCATAAATAATTGATTATATATATATATACTATATATATATATAAACTTGGATCACCTACGTCTAGAGATGTTAGGGATGGGCAGGCTAGTAGCCTACGTAGAATTTTTAATAATATAATTATACTTGAAATTGGTGAGTTGATAGACTTACTGTATGTATACGTAGGCACTAATTTTGTTTCAAATTTTGTACTAGGCTGAAAATCGGATACAAAATAAAAACTTAAAGTGAACCACCTTCCAGGCAATAAATTAAAATTAGCTTTGATTAGTAAAAATTTATACAAGTTTTTATAACTATCTAAAATTACATTCAATTGAATATTAACCAAACTGACTAAATTCATCAGTAATGCCGCTTCTGTAAATCAATAATAAGATTTTGGTACGAAAATAGATTGGCTACATAGGAGACTTACACTACTCGAAATTATTAACTAATAAACACAAAATTTCCAGATACGTCCGAACACAAAAAAACTTTATTTCATTTAGCTACGCAATAGTTACGTATAAGGATCTGATTTAATTATGGTTATCGTTATGCTAGGAGATTAAGTACTCTGGTAATGATCACCATGAGTTATAGTTTTACATAATAAATTTTATTTATGTTGTGAGATGGAATTTAAGTAGATTCAAAATTTTTTAAGTAAATTACACTTTAGAATTTTAATTGGCTTAAGAAATTTTCCACATCGATATATGGCTAGAAAAATCGTTTTTCGATCGAACCAACATAACAACACTTGTATTTAAATCATTTTTTGCCTTTATTGATTCAAAAGTTTATTCGATAAGCTATTGAATCAATAAAGGTAAAAGAAGACTTGGTCTAAATTTGTCCGGATTAGCAAAGATTCCATATATTAGAAAGATTGAATAAGTGGTCATGCAATGATTAATATCATGAAATTTATTTTATCAGAGCTAGAGGTTGGAATAATTCGAGTTTATCACATGAATTTTGTGATATCTTAGAATTTATTAAAACATAATTGGATAAATTTCTAAATTTTCCCAAAATTCACGTGATAAAATCGTGTAGCGGCACGTTTCAACCAATCATTTGTTCCGACAGAACAAATTTTATGATATATTATCTAGTACTCCGCAAAATCAATTCAAAGGGTTCAAAATTTCAAAATCGTAAAATGGAATGGGAATGTCTCCATTTATTGCGGTTTGCAAAAAAGTAATGTAAAATTAGACGATTTTTCGATTCTAACGCTAAGAGAATTATACAGATTTCCAAATATATATAGAGATCAAATATATGATTGATAGAAAATCTAGAGTCTTCGAAATTCTCCACTATCGTTATCATGAAAATCGTGGGGTCACACCCTTTTGCAAACTTTGCAAACCACTATAACGAAATAAATAGACAAAATCATTTCAAATTTATCGGAAAATGAAATAAAGTTGATACATCGCTCATTTGAAAATAAATACGTCACCTATTTCTGTCAAAATTAGATTTTCGTACGTTAACTTTGAACTTTCTAAATAGTTTAAAAAATTCATTACAAAATTATAAAAAGTAAAAAAGATATATAATCAAAAGGGATATAAAATTCAAAATCTGAGATGACAACTCGGATGCCGGATAATGAGCTGTAGGACTGTAATCCCGGAAGGAGGTAATCGAAGTGGCACAGAACGGGTATGACGATCACCTACCTAAAATGGGTTTACCGGCAGTATACGCAGTATTCGCTGTATACTACATATCTTATGCATCGGGTTGATAATGGATATCAGTGCGATAAGGGGAATCGGTGGGATATAGAATATAATTAAAATAATCAGTATAAACATTATCATCAGTATAATTAATATATATGTTATAAGTAATAAATATAAGTGATATATCACGAATAGAGTGTATAACGTGTCCTATGTAAATGAAAGTATATAATAAAGGCTTCGAACCCTACGAAGAAGACAGTTAGTTGTTCGTGCTTGCAATAAAATTTGACCCTAATGCTTTCTTGCTTTCGTTACATTGTAAAACCTACGATCATAAACACACCACTCGCCAAATCTAACCGCCTCTTATCGACTAAGCCGTTCGTATCTGATTGAGAAGCGACTGACTCGCCGTTTCGCACGTGTCAGTAGGTCCAATCCGGATATCCATTTGGGTTGTTGTCCAGCAAAACCATGCTAAGAATATATAAACAATATATACTCTAAGCATGGTTTTGCTGGGCAAAACCCATTTACTATTGATATCCGGATAATACAACAAATATTCGGATAATTATCCGGATTTCAATAGTAAAACGGATATCCAGATTTGAATAGCCATAGATAATGGATAATGGATAGGAACTCTATAGACTATGAAAAAAAATTGGAAATTTTTCGTCGGAGTTAATGAAATTAACTCCGAGTTTTTTCCGTGATATTTGCAAAACTGATTACGTAATTCACCTGATCATTTGAAATGTCATTTATGATTTGATTTTGCGGAGTACTAGCCGTGGTTGGCTAACTGAGCTTCGATTCAAGCCTACGTAAATAACATACAAAGAAAAGAATCTATGATCATAAAAGTTTGTATGATAGCTTTTATTGATGAACTTTTTTTATATTTTATAAACATGAAAAATTTACTAGTAAAAAGTTATCTAATCTCTGGAATTTTTACGATATATGTATTTTGATTTCCTGAATAACTTAATGCGAAATTTTGACATTACGTACTGTATACGTACTACGTATATATATAGTGGCTGTTAATCTTTTATTTTTTTAAATATATATTATGTATCGTACATATCTTGATTGGTTATTTTACACATGATTATTACAGTGTTGGGCAATAGAAATTCTAATCATTTCTTTAATAAGTAAATTATTAGGTTATTAAAAAACCAAATGTATACGTACGTAGTTTAGTAGTTTAATATATACATACGTACGTACATAAATTTCTTTGTTTATATACTTCATACTTTAAATAACATGAATATTTATAATTTTCATAAATTATTAAGAAACCCTATAACATCCACCATATGTGTATCTTATATTTTATGTCGATTTTGTCTTTATAGAGATGTGACTGTTAATCTTATATTTTAATGTCTTTTTAGAGCTGCGGCTGTTAATCCCGGCCACGACCACACTATTCCGATTCCGATGTACTCTGAAAAAAAAATTTCAATATAGTTTCTTTTTAAAATTAGTCTTATAATGGGTATTTTCCGATTATTTTCCGATTAGCACACGTGAATTATAGCTTTATAATTAAATGAATGTGTAAATTAGGAATTTAATTAAATATGTAATTGTTATGTATTTTACTCGACTAGACAACAAAAACTTAAGTCAGCCATTTTAATAACATTTTTCTTTTCATTTTTTTTTTTTTTTTTTTTAAAAAAAAAAATTATTTCACACTCTCTTTCCAATTATTGAGAAAAATAAGCTTGAAAAAGGCTTATTCCTGTGACATACCAAAGGTTCTGCTAGAATATATCATTCATTTAAATTATATTTGTATTACTGATGCTCAGAATTACTTGTAAAAAACGTTATCAACATTCTTTATAATAAAGAAATAATGGGAAAAAACAAATGCGATTTTGATCGTATGAAAAGGCTAGATCCAAGATTTGCTAAGAGATATGAAAAAATACGAAAGAAATTCGAAAATGGATCTTTATTATCAAACATTATCTGTGGACCTTTTTTTACCGGTCTTTATGCTTGTATGTATACTTATTTATATTGCTTGTATGCATGGTCGTTGTAATATAGTTAATAATTGCATCTAACCATTATTTAGTAGGATTGTATCCCCGAGTATTCTTTAACCACTGGATAAACAATAATCCTCTTCACCCATCATTAACAATCTATCAAGAAACTGCAATCCGCACTTTGAAACGGGCATTTGATTCACCATTAACTTCTATTCGAAAAAATGTATCGCTTTTCGAGTTGTTTATAAAAACATTTAAATGCACTGAACCAATAACTTCATTAATTGACGATATCGATACTGATTTTAACGGATATTGGTTAGGTTCTGAGACTTGGAGAGGTCAACCTCCAGAAGCTATTTTATTATACGTTCATGGTAAGTCTAATTTTTTTTTTATCAAATTGTGATTTTTAATATTTAACCTTTTTTTTCGTTTAAAAAAAAAAAAAGGTGGTCCATACATATCAGCTACTTCATTATCTGGTATCCAATCTTTATGCTTTTTATTACAAACTTTAAGAACAAAGTATAATAAACATGTTAGAGTATTAGCTATTGACTATGAACTAGCACCCGAAGAGCCGTTCCCCGTTGGATTAAATTATTTGGAACGTGCTTATCGATGGTTGGTTTCTAGTGATAGACCCGGTAGCCAAAAAGTCCTCTTATGTAAGTATCGAGAATGTTTTATTCGTAAAGGATTAAATAAATAATATTTACTTTCACACATTTCTTTGTAATATATAGGTGGGGATTCGATAGGTGCGGTAATGGTTTTAGGACTTTTACATCGTATATATACAGATAACAGCAAGACTGTCGATTCAATTAACCCTATGGGCGCAATACTAATTTCTCCTTGGGTAGAACTATCATGTGACTCTTTTTCATATTTCACAAATGCAAGATATGATTATCTATCAAATTGTTTGTTGCGATTCGCTTCAGAATATTATGTATTTGGTAAAAGAGGTGATCCAAGTATTAACTTTAACCGTCATTCCAAAAATGTCAATGTGACCCATGATAAAGATATTTTTTCTTGGTTAAATGATGTTGAAGATACTTTTGATCTTACTGATATAAAGGATGGAGATGAAAGTAATTTGAAAAGTGTTGATACTGAAACTGAAATTACTTCGAGAGAAGATACTGAAACTACCGATACTAAGACTAATGAAAAAGTAGAAAGATCCGAGGATGAGAAAAGTTCACTTATACTAGATTCACATAATGACCAAACGTTAAATCACGACGATAGTGCAGATAATGACATTAATGACACGAAAACTGATTCAGGATCGCGTATTGATAGCATTCTTGAAGCGTATAATAAAATCGACTCTAGATCTACTTCTGATATTTCAGATAATGATCCAAAATTGCTTTTTGATAGTATTCTTAATGCTTACGATAAAAACCCTAGTATGATTAACACGAACAGAAGAAATAATCATGCTGACGCTCGCAGCAGAACCGAATCATTACTGAGTTCACGGCCTCCTTCGATTCTTCGTAGTAATACTCTTCGTAGTAGTAATGGTGGTGAAAGAAGAAAGAGCAGAAATTCCGTTAGGTTTTCTGATGTTATTGAAATTCATACACCATCTGAATTTGGTCAAAAACCGCAAATAACACTTGAAAGTTTGTCACGCAATAACTCGGGAAATTCCCGCAAATCAAAAAAATCCTTGAAGAGATTAAAAAAGAAAAGGAATTCGATTAATAGGGCACAGTCCGAGGACCCGTTTAGGAATCCATTTGTTTCACCATTACATACACCTCATCATATTCTTGCTAAATATCCACCTCTTTTTATCTCTTATGGAGGAAAGGAAGTGCTCAGAGATGATATTGAAATGTTCTGTCAAAAATGTATTAAAAGTAAGAAATATCACTCTCTTGGATCTGAAAGTGGTGAAAATGAGTCAAATGATTGGATATTTACCGAGATAGAAGCAAAGGACGGATTACATCCTGATGTCATTATTGAGACGGATGAGGATATGGTTCATAAGTATGTCCATTCTTTGTAATGCTATATTATTTGTTTATATATTTACTAATTATTTCGCCAAATTCTTTAACAATTGTCGTTAATAGTTATCCAATCCTTCTAGGAACTTTTGGCGAACACTCACGTAATGCTTTAACACGTATGGCAGCTTTCATTAATGATCTACTTCCAAAAAATGCACCAGAGGTTTGCCTTGTCCCGCATTATAATCAAAGAATAACTCAAAATAGCTTGGATACCTATCAATTTACTGAATATTCATCAGTTATCGATAATGATTCTGTATATGAAACATCCACTATAAGCTCTATATTTATCACATCGTCAAATTCTGTTTTAATTCCTAAATCCATGAATGTACCACCGCTGCAACCTCTTGTCAATTTACCTAATTCAAACTCTCCAATCTCACTACCAAAACCTCTTACAAGCTTACACAAATCATCTAAATCAATTTCTAATGATACTTTTACTACTTTCCATGATAAACCTCTCCTATTGAGTTCCTCGAAACTTCTCCCCAAAATTCTCGGAAGAGAGTCGATGTCTTCATTCTCAACTGGTACTTATATTAGTGATGCATCAACAAAATCTAGCAGCAATGCTTCTGCTCTAAATTTAGGTAGTGATGTATTCGCGAATTCGAGACAACTACCTATAAAACGACTATCTACAAAACAACCTACAAAACAACTTCATCCTATTATTCCAATTGAAGAAGAGGAGTGATAGCCAAAAAATGAAAGGGCTACGATGTGTGAAATTTTTGTAGTTAGGAATTTAGGCCACACAAATTTAATTTCTTGGTTTTCATAATATGAAATTTTTAAACAGACCCGGCCGGGTTATGAAAACCAATTAATTAATTTTGTATGGCCTTATTATTATTATTTTTTTAATTATAAACATTAATATAATTATCGTTGTTAGAGTTTTCATTGTTGTTTAAATATTTTAGATAAAAGATTAATGTAATATGACTGATAATTAATTCATAATAATTCTGAAATTTTTTATCATGTGAATAAATATTAGGAGAATCTACTTACACTACACTGGTTATCGCTATTTTTTGCAAGTAATTAATATATATTAGGGCAAATAATTTAGTGATTATTTATATTGATTGCATGTAATGTAATATTTAAGGGTGGGCAGTATTAAAGAAGTTTTTGATACGAAGTACTTTGGAAAAATTATTAAAAGTTGATTTAGCTATTAATACAAAATTAATACAAAATTACTATCATAATCAAAAATATTATAATCAAAATTCTTTCTGACAATTACTTAAATCAAATTTTTATCAAATACAAGTTGAAGACTCAAGATTTAAAATCCAGTAATTCCATCTAATAGAATGTTATTAATAAAGTTATATAGTACAGGACAGTAAAAAACATCCAATCTATACATATATCATAGACAGAAGTTTGTCTAAAAATTCAGTTTAATTTTACATTATTTATACAGTTTAGAGTACTTTTTAAAAAAACGAAAACTAAGTTATAACCAAAAATAAGATCCAGTTCTCGTCCGTTTAAAAAGTTAGTATAGTAATAACTTCTCAAAACCCGATAAAAACTTATTACTTAAACGAATTTTTTTAAACGGACGAGATTTAGATCTTATTTTTTTGACTATGGAGTCTACAGCTCTAATAAACCTTCTATATGGTTTTTTTTTTACTTTATTATGATTGGTTTTCATTTTGTTAAAAAGTACTCTAAACTGTATAAATAATAAATTGAATTGATTGGCCAATCAAACGAACTTCTGCCTATGAGCATACGGTAGGTCAACTAATTAAATCAAACCTATATGTAGACCCATAATTAAACAATTAAGCCAAATATCACTTTTCAATTGGAATTTATTATACGAAAGTGATAGATTTTGAAATCTAAATCCTCTCGCGGTATTAATTCTTTGAACTTAAGAATAACATAAAACAGATTAAAAAAGCATGCTTTTTTTTTTAATTTGTCGTGAGGATTTTTCTTTTTGCATTTAAAATTTTAAAATTTTATAAACTTTAGATTATATAAATCTTTATAAAATATTAAAATTTATAAAATTTTGAAATTTTAAATGCAAAAGGAAGACAAATTAAAAAGCATACTTTTTTAGCCTGTTTTATGTTATTCCTAAGTTCAAAGAATTAATACCGCGAGAGGATTTATATTTCAAACATCTTATTGAAAAGTTATATTAATTCGTGTAACAGTACATTCGCATTAAAAAATTGGCTTAATTGTTTAATTATGGGTCAACCATATAGGTTTGATTTAATTAGTTGACCAACCACCCCAATACGGCACATTTGCCGTATAAGTGCCGTATGGCCGTGGTAGTGTGCCGAGGGTAGCTACTCCTCAAGATACTAAATGTTTACATCTCTACTACCCGACGTTTCGTAGGGGAGTGTGTACGTATGTACGACGTAGTTATATGTAGTACGTATCAATACGTGCGCATATACTACACAAACATGAATGGTTTCCTTTGTTTAATTTCTGAATTTGGAGTTTAAGATTAGGGATTGAAATCTAATTTTCAAGCATTAAAATAGTTTTAGCACATGACCAACATAATTCGGCCCGGAACTATGTAATGATTTGAGCGGTTCCAATCCTTAATTAAGATTAAAGTCAGTTGAGTTTAGTGTTAAAAAATACATGTACAATAAGTTTCCTTTCATGCAATTTATCAATGCCTAGGATAGGTTTAGACGGCCGGTATTTTTTTTTTCTCTTTGTTTTGTTCCACTTTTGCTCATCCAAATTTATAACAATCGGGTTTGTGTAACTCGGAGTTCGTTTGAATGGTTACTAAAAATAGGCATCAGATAAATTAAATTTTGTTTTTTATTTAAATTTGGTTATAGAATAAAAACAAAAAAAAAAATACAAAAAACAAAAAACGATAGGTTTCTTTAATTAAATACTTTCATATAATTTAAAGAAAATTTCATAAATATTGATATCTATGCAGAACCAAAATGCGTACATCCAAGAAGGAAATAACCTATATATACAAAATGCCCAAGAGCAAAATATTTCTAATGGTGGTGATTTCGTTTTGCTTAATGTAGGCTCTGAAACATCTACACAACACTGGGGTAAAGCTCCAGAGAAACAACCTCGTCGTTATATTAAACAGCGTATTGAATTAACTGATGGAAAAAACTTGGTGTTGGAGTGTCCTATTCCTGCTGACTTGCTTGGAAGTATCCCGAGGAATGACCTGCGGGAATTTACTCATATGAGATATACTGCATGTACAAGTAGTCCAGATGACTTTAAGCAGAAAGGATTTAAACTTCGTCAAGCAGAGACAACTCCTCCAAGATCAACTGAACTATTTATCGTGTTAACTATGTATAATGTAGGGTTATTAATCATTATTTTCTTAATAATGATAAATATTATAAAAGATAATATTTATACATTTCTTATAATAATAGGAAGATAAAGATTTGTTATCCCGCACTTTTCACGGAGTTGTGAAAAATATTGCTCACCTATGTAGTCGTGAAAGGTCTAAAGTCTGGGTAGATGTTCGATTCTTTGTCATTATTGTTTAAATTTGTAAATTTTTATTAATATATCTATTTAACAACCTTTTAAGGGTGAAGATGGATGGAAGAAGGTCGTTGTGTGCATAGTTGCTGATGGTCGTGAAAACATAGACAGAGGTTCTTTAGCTTATTTAGCAGCTCTCGGTGTTTATCAATATGGCGTTGAAGTGGGTGAAGTAAGGTCTGACCCCGTTACTGCTCATATATTTGAGTATACAACTCAAATTTCGATTAATAGTGATATGGATGTTAAAACGGGAGAGGATTCTGGTGTTGTTCCAATTCAGGTGCTCTTTTGTCTTAAGGAGAAGAATGCTAAAAAAATTAATTCACATCGATGGTTCTTTAATGCCTTTGGTCCAATTCTTGATCCTAATATATGTGTTCTTATTGACGTTGGTACTGAACCAGGTTAGTAAAATAATATATCAAAATATGGCATCTCCATATGATGCAATTAGTCTTATACAGTCAGATCTCACAGATAAAATGGTATTCAATGGGGTACCAATGGACATCTCTATTGCTGCACAATTTTGGCACAAAGAGGTCAATAGGTATTAATACATTGCGGAAATTGTACATTTTTGCGATGAGCGTGAAAAATTGGTAATTTTTCATACTCCGTCAAAAAACATCGTTAATAGTCTAGTAAGAACCTAAATTAGCAATTTTCTTCTTAGCGTCCTATATTAATAATCATTTACGCTAGATCTAGGATATTTTGTCACTATCGCAAAAATGTAGGTATCAATTAGAATAATAATATCAATAGGGTATTAATAGGATACCAATAGGGCATCAATTGGGATTTGTATAATTACCTTTAGTTATATATAAGGTCAAAGCTTTTATTATGTAAACTGACATTAGTGTATTAAGCAAAGTTGTTTAGGTGATCAAAATACATATATCCTGAAAATTTTACTTGAATCGGATAATTTTCTATTAATACATTTTTGCATTTTATGTTTATACGACAAAATTTAAAATTATTCATATAAACGTAAAATGCAAAAGCATATTAATAAAAAGTTATCCAGTTCATAGAAAATTTTAGAATACATGTATTTTAATTTCCTGAAAACACGCTAATTTCAGTATGCAGCTAAATTTTTTCTGACTTTTATATATAGCGACTAAGGGTAATTAGATTAATACCCTATTGCGTATCATTTTAGATGTGTTTCCCTTGCAATGATGGCAATTTGACAAAATTTACGCGAATTTGACAGTCATAAAATGTCATTTGACCATGGCTTCGATAGTATTTATTATAAAAATCGGATTGTCATTTATTTATCATAATCATATTTGTCATTTTGCCGTTACTGCCTTGCCCCCTTCGGGACTATAATAGAAAAAAAAAAGATTAAGTTGTGCATTTAGGGAGGGTATGTTTTTATAGAGGGCAAAAAATATATGAGATAGGACAAAGTTATACTGTGCATTAGAGGGTCCCGCAAATTTTTGCGGGCCGAGCTTAGAGATGAGTTCGGTCAGTCATTTTCGGTCGACCGTTTTATGACCGTTAGCCGTAGCTTGAGATCCAGTGATCCAAATTAGATGATTTTGGTACCATTCAATTCGTCTCAATAAACGAATCTAATGGTATCAAAATCATCCGATTTGGATCACTGGATCTCAAAATACGGCTAACGGTCATAAAACGTTTGACCGAACCCATCCCTAACCGGGCTTAGAACTTATAATAAATGCGGGCGGCATAAAATTTTTAAAGTTAAATTCTGGCCGGGTGTGCATTTATAGAGTTTGTATTTATGGAGGTCTGACTGTAATATGTTTGAAAAACTGTTTTTATAATGCTTTTGTTAACCTATTTTATGTTATAATTTTTTTTGTAAGGTCCTAAATCCATTTATTACTTGTGGAAGGCGTTTGATGTAGACCCTAATGTTGCTGGTGCTTGTGGTGAAATAGTTACCATGAAAGGTGATTACTGGAATAAACTATGGAATCCAATTGTGGCAGCCCAAAATTTTGAATATAAGATGTCAAACATTCTGGATAAGCCATTTGAATCGGTCTTTGGGTACATTACTGTTTTACCCGGGGCTTTTTCTGCTTATAGGTACCTTGCTCTCCAAAATACTAAAAATGAGGAAGGGGAGGAGGAAGGCCCTCTAGCATCTTATTTTAAAGGTGAAATTAATGATGAGAAAAAAGTTGATAAAAAAGAAGAAAGCATATTTACTGCTAATATGTATCTTGCTGAAGATCGTATTCTTTGTTTTGAATTGGTTGCAAAACGTAAAAGCTCTTGGTTATTACATTATGTTAAGTCATCTCAAGCCGAAACAGATGTGCCTGAAGATATTGCTGGACTGATTAGTCAACGAAGACGTTGGTTAAATGGATCCTTTTTTGCTAGTTTTCACGCCATTTTACATTTCTATTATATCTGGAGAAGTAGTCATTCTATATCTCGTAAAATATTTTTACATATTGAAATGGCGTATCAAGCATATAATCTTATTTTTTCATGGTTTGCCTTAGTAAATATAAGTTATTTATTTATATATACATTTTATATATTTGTATTGTATTATTTATATCGATTTATTATTTTTATAGGGAAATTTTTATTTGACATTTTATATTTTGGGTCAGGCTTTATCTAATCCAAAAGTTGCACCCTGGGATACAAACGTTGGAAATGGCATATTTATGGTCTTGCAATATACTTACATTGGATTAGTAATTACACAATTCATATTGGCCATGGGACATAGACCTCAAGGGTAAGTATTAAATTTTTAGTATATTCATAATTTTTTTTTTATTTATTTAGATATATATTAATATATATTTTATATATGGGAGCTCGTCAATAGAAAATGAACAAAAAGTTTTTAATAACTTTTTTTAAAATTTTAGATTAAAATATCTTGTATCAAATTTAATAAATTTTTTTTTTATATTAATTTTATAACTATATAGAATTAAAATAAAAAAAAATCATTAAATTTAGTTTAATAGCTGTTGAGATATTTTAGTTTAAAATTTTACTTAGAAAAATCTCTTTTCTATTGACGAGCTTCCATATGTTTTTTTTTGAATTAATAGTTCCAAATGGGCCTATAGAATTTCAATAATATTCTTTAGTTTGGTTATGATCTATATGTTATTTTCTGCCTTCTGGCTTACAATTAAAGGTATCAATGCTGGAGTTGATTCATTGGATCCCAATGCGGATTTTAAGTCTACTGCTACTTTAAATGCTATTCTTAAGAACGCTTCTTTTAGAAACATTATTCTTTCATTAGTTTCCACATATGGCCTGTACCTATTAGCAAGTTTTATGATGTTTGATCCATGGCATATGTTTCTTTGTATTTTGCAATATATATTGCTGGTACCATTATATATTATTATTTTAAATATTTATGCTTTTTGTAATATACATGATGTTAGGTAATGTATATTAAGACTATATATATGATTATATATGTATTCATTCATATATATATGTTTTTATTTATTTATTTAATATTTATTATGCTAATTCACTTTTTTTTGATATTTATAGTTGGGGTAATAGGCCAGATGCATCAAAGTTACAGAAAGCTGTCAATGTTGTGTCCAGTACGGGAGTGCCTACAGTCGAAGTTACAGTGCCTGAAGATGTTAACGAGGTATATAACCAGGCACTTAATGCAATAAGGCAACCAAAGCTTGATGATGTATCGATTGCTACACCAAAACAAAAACAAGAAGATTCTAGAAAATCATTTCGAACAATGGTTGTGCTTTTATGGATTTTTTGTAATGCATTATTAGTAATCGCAGTCACATATGCTAATGATACATCAAGAATGAATACGTATATGGCAATTATTCTTTGGTCTGTTGCTGGATTGGCTGGCTTCAGATTTCTTGGCACTACTACATATCTGATATTTAGATTATTTACTGATCCAAACGCATTAATATTTTGGAAATAACGATAGATCTGTTTTAAAATTACTTAATATGGGCATGGGGTTTTAATAAGCTTAGAGTTAGACGTGGGGAAAGTGCGGTTTTAATAAACTTAGAGTGGAACGTGGGAAGAGTACAGTTTTAATAAACTTAGAGTGAGACGTGGATGGGATGTGGAACGAGTGTAGTTTTAGTTAACTTAAATATATACTACTTGTGTTTTATTTATATGTTATTCTATTTGAACTAATGAAGATCCTTTGTTACAGCCAATAACTATATAATAAAATTTAATCATCTGGACTTTTAGTGTTAGAGTAACATAATAATCATAAAGGAGTTCTATATGGCGCAGACTTCCTGAGTTATTTTCAGGATCAGACATAATGTAGCACGATCAAATAAGCATTCCGTTTTGTCAAAAACCGCCTAGTTTTAATAGTTAGATTAGGGTTTAGGGTTAATAATAAAAGTGTATAGGTGGTTTTTGGTAGGTTTATATTTCTAAATCGAGGACCCTGATTTCAAGCTTCAGCCGCGACATTTATTTTTATTCAAAGTTTTTTAAAAAAATTTTACTTAAAAAAATTCGCTTGATTTCTGTTGACTCACTCTATATATATTTGTTTAATAATTAGTGAAGTTTTGTCAATAAAATTTATTTTGCAAAAACTTTTAAGCAAAGCATTTTTATTAATTTTATTATTGTATCGTATTTCAGCCCTGCGCATAAGTGATAAACTGATGCGATTCCAATCAACTCAGACATTACTTCATAGACACCACATTTCACCGACAATTATTCACCAACAAGTTCACCGACAGTTTATTTCACCGAAGCTCATTTCACTGACCAAGTAGTTTTAGCTATTGTCATAAAGGTCAGGTTAGAATTAGAGTTAAAGTTAGTGCAATTTGTAAAAAAAAACTTGTCGGTAAAATAAGCTTCGGTGAAATAACCTGTCGGTAAAATGTGGTGTCTATTAAGTGATTGTCGGCGAAATAATACGGATCCAAACTGATGCATCTCAGAGCTAATTTTGTTTAAACTACGTTAACTTAAATTTTAATCTAACGCCAAGGTATAAATCCTTCCTGGTATCAGATGTGGTATTCTATTGTTACCTGTTTCAATTAGAGGTTGAACCCGGTTTGTTATTCAACTTTAAATTCGGGTTTAATAGGAACCGGGTTTTAATAGCAACTGGTTTTAAATCGGTTTTATAGTAAATAATGGTTTAACGTTAAAAACTCTAATAAATTTTATATGATCGATATCGCCCATATATATACAGTATTAAACCTTTTTTTGATTATTAGTTTTTGAACCACCCATAAAAATGTATCTACGTCATAATTAAAGTCACGTAAAAAAGATATTAAATTTTGAGAACTTTTTTTTGTTAGGTATAGAGATATTGTAAATTACGCTATAAGGAATTCTTTGTTATAAGAATAGTCGGTTCTGTTAGTTATTAAGAACTAATTATCAGAACATATGAAGGCAAAGCAACGTCTTCATTCTTTATGAAATGTCGGGATCATAATGAAATCGGATTCAAATGAAATTTGGGCTTCTATTGAACCCACTAATACTTGTTTACTATAAATTCTGCCTTAAAGCCGACCCTAACCCTGAAAAAAATGCCAAAAAAATGCACTATACAAATTTTCATTTTAATCTACCACATAAAATAACAACAATTTTAAACGTTAAATCTTTAGTGATAATAGTCGAAGATATTTGAGTGACTCCAAAGGAAAACCAGACCTGATTAGAGACATATATGATGCATAAGTAAATTTAATTACGTATTACTTGGTTTTATTATTATATATGTACAGTAACTAAAAATAAATAAATAAGTAAAGGAAAAAAAGAACTTAAGCTTTAATTACGAAGGCGATACTAGGACAGTTCTAGCCCAAATTTTTTCATTAGCCTTAGCCTTAAGTCCAATTAGCCTTAAAGCTGATGACATATACGTATCATTATCTTGGGTTTATGTCCAATTAGCCATGTCCAATTAAACATGTCCAATGACAACGCTGCCTCTTAGTATTTATTCTTATTTATTATATTTGGTATTTGATCCAATAACAATTAAGATAACAAATTTCGTCTTTAGTGTTATAAATCATTCTGCAAATATTATTCAGTCTTGTTTTTTGGTAATCTTGAACATCTCTATATTTTAAGCAACTTGACTTTAGTTTTTTCCAAGCCCTGGGCCTCTAATTATAATTTATCGTAATTTAGTTAAATCATTGGTTCCGAATTCAAAGTCTTATGACCTCCAAAATTCAAAGTAGAAATATTAAAGAAACCACATTGAAAAATATGATTAAATTACTTTTATGAGATAAATAAAAGTTAGAACAGGATCAAAGGGCTTGGAACTGTCAAAGCGTACAGTATTGCACTGAAGTTTTCGGGAAAAAAAGCGAAGAGAAATATTGTATATGAAATTATATACATAGTATATAATAATAAAAATAATAAATTTCTTCATAATGAAGAGAGTCTGAATATTGTTAATCTATTTACAATGATAAGTACTATCGCTCCACATTGTCTAACTGCTAAGGTTACAGTTGGAGTTAAATTGCGTATAAATCGTCCCACCAGCCATACATCCCGTTGGATTGTTTCGCTGTATATATAAACGCCCAACTTCTTAAGAATATCTCTCGTATGATGTTTACACTTTTGTGTGATATGCCAAGTATTTTATTTTCAATGGTCTATTCTATTTCTAAATAATTTAGGTCATTACCATTACTTAAGAGGATAATTACAATAATTTTACTAATTATATCAATCCTTTATTAGGTAATGTAGTTACATACAAAAGTTTCTGCTAGTTACTATAAATATCTGTACAAATCGTTGAGTAACAGAAATCTAGATGACTAGTGCACTAATTTGAAATGAACAGCTGATAAAGTATAACTTTTTTTTTGGTATATTTGTAACATCTCGGAATTCTTTCATTGAATTCTCCAGAATTGTTCAGTATTGGAATTAAGAAAAATAAAAAAAAATAAAAACAAGCTAACAGATAAATCATCTCAATTAATAACGAATACTTGTTTATGCGTAATTGTACAAATTTTTCATAGTTTTTATTTCTATGCAAAATCATCAAAGTATATACATACCGGAAGGTGGTAATCCCCTTTCTCTCGGGCAGCAAAGCTATATTCAAAATATCCAGGAACCACCTATACAAGAAAAACAGCTTCCTCCTCCTCCACCAAATAAAAATTTTAATAGTGATGATAGTTCTATACTTAATATAGAGACTGAAAATGAAAATTCTAGACAACATTGGGGTGAAGCTCCTAGGGTACAGGTTCGCCGTAACAATAAACAACGTATTGTATTAAAGGATGGAAAACATTTAGTGTTGGAGTGTCCCATACCTACGGATCTGCTCGGGAATATTCCTAGGAATGACTCAAGGGAATTTACACATATGAGATATACAGCATGTACAAGTGGTCCTGACGATTTTATGCAAAAAGGGTTTAGTCTTCGTCAAGCAGAAATTGCTCCTCCAAGACATACCGAGTTATTTATCGTGTTAACTATGTATAATGTAGGGAAATTTAATCATCTTTTTTTTTTTTTTAATAACGATATTGTAAATGATATATACATACATATATTTATTGTGGTATTAGGAAGATAAAGGTCTATTAGCCCGCACTTTTCACGGAGTTGTGAAAAATATTGCTCACCTTTGCAGTCGTAAAAAGTCTAAAGTTTGGGTATATACATGACTCTTTATCATTACAGTCACTTAAATTTGTGAATTTTATTTATATATTCTATTCAAAAAACAAAAATCTTTTAAGGGTGATGAGGGGTGGAAGAAAATCGTCGTATGCATAGTTGCTGATGGTCGTGAAAATATAGAGCAAAGTGCTTTAGCTTACTTAGCGGCTCTTGGTGTCTACCAATATGGCGTTGTAGTAGGCAAAGTAAAAAAAGAAACCGTTAATGCACATATATTTGAGTATACTACTCAAATTTCAATTGATCATTCTATGAGATTTAAAACTTTTGGAGAGGACTCTGATGTTGTTCCAGTCCAAGTGCTCTTTTGCCTTAAAGAGGAAAATGCTAAGAAGATCAACTCTCATCGATGGTTCTTTAATGCCTTTGGTCCAATTCTTAAACCTAATATATGTGTTCTTATTGACGTTGGTACTGAACCAGGTTAGAAATTAATATTGTCTTATAATGTTTTTGGGAAATTATTCTTTTAATGCTTTATAAATCAATAATCTATTCTACGATATTTAATATTTCCCCTATAAGGTCCTAAATCCATCTATCATTTGTGGAAAGCGTTTGATGTTGATGCAAGTATTGCAGGTGCTTGCGGTGAAATAGTTACCATGAAAGGTAAAGGTTGGAGGAAACTACTGAATCCAATTGTGGCCGCCCAAAATTTTGAATATAAGATGTCTAATATTTTGGATAAACCATTTGAATCTGTGTTTGGGTACATTTCTGTTTTACCTGGTGCTTTTTCTGCCTACCGGTATATTGCTCTCCAGAGTACTTTTAATGACAAAAACGAGGAAGAAGGCCCTCTAGTATCTTATTTTAAAGGTGAAATCGATGATAAAAAGAAAGAGGATAAAAAAAAGGAAAACATGTTCGTTGCTAATATGTATCTTGCTGAAGATCGTATTCTTTGTTTTGAGTTGGTCGCAAAACGCAATTGTTCCTGGTTATTGCATTATGTTAAGTCCTCCCAAGCCGAAACGGATGTACCTGAAGATGTTACCGGACTAATTAGACAGAGACGACGTTGGTTAAATGGATCCTTTTTTGCTAGCTTTTATGCTATCAGCCATTTTTATTATATCTCGAGAAGTGATCATTCTATAGGCCGCAAAATTTTTTTATATATCGAAATGGCGTATCAAGCAATTAATCTTATCTTTGCTTGGTTTGCAATAGTAAATATTACTTATTTATTTATTTATTTGTTTTTATTTATTTGTTCATTTATTTGTTCATTTATTTATTATTTATTTTTGTTTATTTATCCAATATTAACTTCTTTGTAGGGAAATTTTTATATGACCTTTAGTATTTTGGGTCTGGCCCTCTCTACTCCTGATGCTCCCTGGAGTCCAGAAGTCGGAAGTGGCATATTCTTAGTCTTGCAATATATTTACCTTATACTGATAATTGTACAATTTGTCTTTGCCTTAGGACACAGGATTCAAGGGTAAATTTTATAAATTTTTAATTTTTTTTTTGTTTTTATGTTTTGATCTAATTCTTTTTTTTTTTTGAAAAAAACAAATTAATCACTACTTAATAGTTCTAATAAGGCCTATACAATTTCAATAATATTCTTTGGTTTAATTATGATTTATATGTTATTTGCTGCCTTTTGGCTTACAATTAAAGGTATCGATGTTGGAGTAGGTTCATTGCAAAATCCAGATTTTAAGTCTACTGCTACTGCAAAAGCTGTTCTTGGGAATGCTACTTTTAGAGACATTATTCTCTCATTAGTTTCCACATATGGCCTATACCTGATCGCAAGTCTTATGATGTTTGATCCATGGCATATGTTAACCTGTATTTTACAATATATAATATTATTACCATTTTATGTTATTATACTAAATATTTATGCTTTTTGTAATATCCATGATGTCAGGTAATATAAATTAAAATCATGAATTTTTTAGAAACATTTGTTATACGAATTCCTAATTCCTATTTTATGCTATTTATAGTTGGGGGAATAGGCCCGAAACAGCAAAAAAGCTGAAAGAGAAGGCTACTGACGTTGATTCTACCTCTGGAATACCTACAGTTGAGGTTGCTTTTCCTGAAGATGTTAATGTCGTATATCAGGCAGCAGTTGAAGAAATAAGACGAAAACCTAGTAAGGATGTAACGATTGCTACACCAAATCAAAAAAGAGAAGATTCTCGAAGATCATTTCGAACAAAGGTTGTCCTTTCATGGGTTTTTAGTAATATTGTATTAATAACCGTCATTTCACATCTTAGTAATCCCCAGAATTCAGTAATAGATATTTATTTGGCTATTATTCTTTGGTCTGTTGCTGGATTGGCTGGATTTAGATTTTTCGGTACTTTAACATATCTAATATTTAGGTTATTCACAGATCCAAATGCACTAAATTGTAAAAAGTGATTGATTAGGTTCTTTCAGATTAAATATATGTATAATTAAGGATTATTATTTAAGTTTATTCTAGCAATACGTGTTCATTCCAATTACGTATTCTTAAGCCCATTAGAGTATTTCTTAGTGCTTATTTAGTTACTTAAACTGATATTAGTTTCAGTATTAATTGTAAATATTTAGCAAAAAAGCATTGCTATGTATTATTGCGCCACGAGATTTGTTGTAAACTTTAAATAAACATTTCTTGAAGTCTTATTTATAGTTATTACTCAAATTTATATGTATAACAGCTTAATAAATGTTGAATGAGGGTATTGTGACGAAGATTAATGTTGACTTTTAAATCTTTTTTTTTTTTTTTTAATATCGATATCTATGCATAATATAAACATTTAAAATCAAACAAACCAAATACCTAGGATGTTGAATAATGCAAATAAAATAAAAAAGACAAATTTCGATCATTTGTATGCAAACTTGATATGCAAAAACCCTCTTCATCACTAATTATAGAAATGCGAATAAAATTAATTCCAAAAAAAAAAAACGATCAATAATGCGCGTCGCGTTCATTTTAGAGCATTTAGAGCTTGTACTACATAAGCGGAGAACTACAATACAAATATTCTATTAGTCAGGTTATGCTTAGGGTCACCGACTATCTGCGATAGCATAATATGCGCATAAACCTGATTTTTATCGCATGGCAGATGCAATAGCATATTTCGCATATTAAAGAATGCATCGCATAATTGTTTAAATATTCAAAAAAGCATAATCAGCGCATAAGTAGTGTAATTTTACAAATGTAATAATAGTGTTATAAAATCTTGATTGGCAGTTTTATTGATTAACGACTTTTATATAGGATTATCAAGCTTAGATGATTATCAAAGCTTGGACGATTATCAAAGGCTTGAATGATTATCAAAAGCTTGAAGAATCCTAAATAGAGAAATTGATAAGAGAATAAATATAAATTTAAGAATAGTTAGATAGAAAAGTAAAAGCTTTTAGATCAGATTCAAGTAAGATTATAACTAAAATAAATTAATGTATTATTATTATAAAAATAACGTAATAATAAAAAAAGAATTGATTTAAAATCTTTTTTTTTTAAATATTAAGGTGAGTACTTGTGATCCAGGATTTTATTAATAATACATTCAGCTAATGGTTGCATTACAACAACAGGAGACAACTATAGAAAGAGTGTACAACTAGTCACTCATACAACTTTAGTTATTGTCTAATTTAAGTAGTCTGCCTAAAGGTTCTATACTAGCTGTCATACCTGAAACTTGCTTGTAAGTTCTCTATTTAAACATTTTAGTTCTCATATTCACCTGCTTACTTACACCTATTAATAACCCTAGTCAATATTAGTGAAAATGTGTTATGGTTATTAAGTCTTTAAAGCAGTTTACTTATATGAAAAATTTTTGATCTTGTACTAAACCTTCTAGAATTTTCTGTATCTCATTCTTACAACTAACTCAGTAATACTATTGTTGAACCTAATATTTGCAGTTAGGGCATACTATTAAACTGCTATTTCTTATAATGTTTACTTCAATTCTGATATTTACTTCACAACATATCTTTATTGCTTTGATTTTCAATTCAAGTTTTATCAAGTTTTATCAAGTTTTTAGTTCAAATAACTCAAAAAAATAAATATAATCATATCTTTGGTTTATTTATTTTATTTATTTAATTTTTTTTTAATATTAAGACAAGTACTTGTAACCTAAAAATTTATTAGTAATTAGTCAACATATAACTATTATATACAACAGTTACAGAGACAATTATGAAAAGAGTGTACAACTAATTATTTATATAACTTTAGTTATTGTCTATTTTAAGTAGTTCATCTAAAAATTTTATACTAGTTGCTATATCTAGAACCTGCCTATAAGTTCTCTATTTAAATACTCTAGTTCTTATATTCATCTCACTCTACTAACTGCAGATTAATTGTAAATATATCATAATCATTAAGTCATATTTAACTTTGTACTAAGCTTACTGAAGCTTTTTGTATCCTATACTTACAGCTAACCTGATACTGCTTTGGCCTAGACTATCACTTGCAGTCAAAACTAATCATTAAGTGTAGAATACAATGTAGATTATTTCTAGTTGCAAAAAAAATTTTTTTTTTAAATATTAAGATAAATACTTATGATCTAGAATTTTATAATAGTATATTTGGCTAATGTTTGTATTACAATCACAAGAAGTAACTATAAAAAGAGTATATAACTAGCTGCTTATACAATTTTAGTTATTGTCTAATTTAAGTAGTCTACCTGAAGGTTCTATACTAGCTGCTATACCTGAAACCTGCTTGTAGTTTCTTTATTTAACTATTCTAGTTTCTATATCTACCTATCTACCTTTGATTACCAATAATTCTAACTGATGCTAGTAAAAATATGTCATGATTACTAAGTCTTTAAAGCAGTTCTTTGAAATCTTTAACCTTGTACTAAACCTTTCAGAATTTCTATATCTCATTCTTATAACTGACTTGGTATTGCTATAACCAAGACCAACATTAGTGGTTAGAGCATATTATTAAACCATTATGCCCTTGTAGAGTTTACCTTAACCTAGTACTAACTTTACAATATATCCTTAATACTTTGGTATTTAATTCAAGTTTTACCAAACTGCCATTTCAGATAATTTAGAAAGATAGGTCATAATCATATCTTTGGTTTACATATTTGCTGATATGTATTCTTTTTCTCTAAAATCTAAAAATTTCAGAGACCTGGTTGGTTCATCTGATCTCTTCTCAAAAACCAGCATATTTGCCTAGTTTCACAAATTCTAGTTCTGTTTTATAGGTCTAGTCTTTATAGTAATATTGTCAAAACTTCAAGTTATCTTTCTACTTAGGTCTTTCAAGTAAGCTTCTATCTTCTTTATTTAATTTCTATGATTTACATGATTACAAGGACTTATTATAGGTTTGTACTGCCCGGTATTAGTTTGTATTCCTTCATGTAACCACAAATCTTAATCTAAAAGACAACATTATATGACTGTTACATAAATGCCATATGACCTGCTAGTCATGCTAATGCAACACAAGTAACAGATATCTTATTCCAACCAATTATGTAAGATAGTTAACTATAATACAGTAAAGATTTTTAAATTTTTTATCAATACTGGGATTTGAACTCTGAACCTGCCAGTTGGAGGTTAACAATTTGACTACTTTACTAGGTTATCACACCTACCAAAAAAAAAAAATTTATATAGTAAGTATAAAATATATTACTAATAAAATTTTTTATTTTTTAATTAATTAATAAAAAATTTTATAATATTATAAATAAAATTATTTATCTATTATAATAAAATTTTGAAGTATTTCAGTTTAGGTCATAGATAAACTAGTTTGAGCTCTCATTCTTGCATGTAATTTTTAATTTGTTATAAACAACCTTAGTTTATTTTAGTACTTCTGTACTAAAATATATAGTTAAAATTATTAATAAAGATATAAGCAAGGCCTTATCTTAACATCAAAAAAATTTTAAAGTATTGTATTATTTTAAAAAAATATACTTGTATATATTACAAAGTTTTCTGGAGTCCCCCAAAATTTGCTAGGATTGCACAAAATTATTAGATTTGATTGGTTAATTTACATAACTCTATAAGTTAACTTAATTAATAAATTTTTATATCTAATATTTAAAAAGTCATATCTTATTAAGTTTTTGTTTAATATTAATAATTTTACTATTATTAAAATCAAAAAAACCTACTCTACAAACTTTTCTTATAAATTAAAATTAGTTTACTTAATATAGTTTTTTATAAAATTAAATATAAAAAAAATTTACCATTAGGTTTATATATAATTTTAAAATACTATCCTTTATTCTTAATCTGCTTATAAATAATTAACCATATTTAGTATATTTTTTTGATTATATGCATTCTTGTATTATTTATTATTTTTAAATATAGTTTTAATTTTTAATGTAAATTTTTATACAATTAATCATTTAATACAAATATTTCAATTAATAATAAAAAAATTATAATATAACAAATAATTATAGCTAATTTATTGTTTAATAATAGTATTCTATTAAATTAAGAAGTAGCAAATAATGCAGAAATTTTCAAATATAGAAAAAAATAGCAAATATTTTTCATAACTTTAATATAATTTTCAATATTTTAAATTATTTTAAATTGTTTTTTTTTTAATTATTAAGGCTGATGTTAATGATGACTAATGTCTTTATTTGTGTTTTTAGTTAATATATTATATATTATACAGAATAAGTGTACAACTAGCTATATATATAACTTTTAGTTACCTATTTAAGTAGTTTATTTGAGGGTTTTACACTAGTTGCTATATCTATAATCTACTAAGAAACTATCTAATTAAACATGCTAGTTCTTATACTGTATTTAGACAATTAGCTACACTAGTTTCTGTATACCTAAATGCTATCTAACTTAATATTTTGTCTTTTTTCTGTATATTTGTCAAGTTGTTATTTAATTTCAAAGCATGTTACCTAACTGTAAGACTTAGAAAGCCTCTTTATTAACTACCTATCCACTCTATAAAATATTAACAAAGCTTGCCCTTGCAGAGTTCATCTAAACTTCAGCACTTACTTCATAATATATTTTTAGTATTTTTAGTATATCTTTGTTTTTTCTCTAAACTCTCAATCCAGATAGTTTGATAAAACTATAATCAGTTTATTAATATATCAAATTAGTCTAATATTTTTTTTCTCTAATCCTCTTTATTGGAATTCCAGTAGTCTGGTTAATGATACTCTTACTCAGAGATTTTTGCCTATTCAGATATTCTACATTGATATCTGTTTTCTAGATTTAGCCTTTACAGTAGTATTATTAAAGATCTGTATTATCTCTCTACTCAGGTTTTTTCAAATAGGCTTCTTGTTCTTTAATTTTTATAGATTTACATAGCTACAAGAACTTATTTT